TATTTTATTCTGTATGCTGTAGTCTAGGTCCATCTTTCATTAATGTTTACCAAGTTTGTGTCTTCTCTATTCCAAAATTTGCTTCATCATTTGAATTTTTCTTCAAACAACGGGTTAACTTCCAAGAGGTCTGACTTCCTGTCTGTTTCCTTTTCATATTTTTATTTTAAAAATAAATTCATAGGTATATTTCTCCTTAATCATGAAACCACAATTCTTCTAAAATTTTGACTGGGACAGTCTCATAGAGTTTCACTTTGAATGAAATTATGTTGCAGTTGTTTCTTTTTTGGCAGAATTGCTTGCATAGCATCAGAATTCTCTATGTGTTTTCAAAGTTTGCTTTATTGATTAATTTTGAATGGGATTCACCCTTAGCTTGCTCTTTCTTCCTTCCCCCAGTCTCCTAAAACCTAACTCTGAAGCAGATATTGCTTTATTTGCATATTATTTATTTGAGGTTCAGAGAAAGCTTCCATCTACTGGTTTACTCTTCCAGATATCCATAATAGCTGGTGCTTGGGCAAGATTAAAGCTGTCTACCAGAAACTCAAGCCTGCTCCTCCAAGTGAGTGGCAGGAACCTGACTAGTTAAGCTATCACCACTCCCTGCCAGTCTGCACTGGTAGGAAATGGAAATCAGGAATTGAAGCTGGCGTCAAATCCAAATAGTCCAGTATGGAACGTGGACATCTTACCAACTAGACTAAATGCCTGTTCTCCAGGCCAACATTAAGAAGTCTTTGTAGAACACTGTCCGTTGGTCTCAACTGGCATGCGCCGTTAGGCATCAGATGACTGCCATTTGGTATAGTTCCTCAGATGCAAGGTATTATTTAGTCTTCTTGTTTATGAAACATTCCACAAAGTCATACCCATAGGAAGAAGCCAACTCCTGATTTTTTTTAAAAAAGATTTATTTATTTTTATTACAAACTCAGATATACAGAGAGGAGGAGAGAGAGGAAGAACTTCTGTCTGATGATACACTCCCCAACCCCAGCCAGGATCCAGGAACTTCTTCCGGGTCTCCCACATGGGTGCAGGATCCCTAAAACCTTGGGCCATCCTCGACTGCCTTCCCAGGCCACAAGCAAGGAGCTGGATGGGAAGTGGAGTTGTCGGGATTAGAACCTGTGCCCATATGGGATCCCGGTGCGTTCAAGGCAAGGACATTAGCCGCTAGGTCACTGTGCCGGGCCCCCAACTACAGATTTTTAAACTCCTTTTCCCCAAGCTCACATCTGAAAGCCTGGCTGTACTCAGTTGACATCCAGAGAGTATTTTCATTTCTTCCCTGAGTCCCAGCTTTCACAACCTGCCTCAGGACAGCAGTCCAGCAGCTGTTGCCCTAGTTAGGCACAACTCTACATGTCTTTTCTGCACCTCCAATTAGTTAAGAGATTTTGAACCTAGACATAAATTTAGTATCTTTTTTTTATTTCGTAAAGATTTATTTATCAGGAAGTGAAGATACATTGCAGTATGCATTTCCACTCCATAACAAAAGGAGGACTCCCAGTGAAACAGTTAAATATACCTTGATAATATGGCACTAGATTTTATGCCTTTGTCTATATCTACCAATGCCACAATGCACCTGAACTGCAGAATGTAAAACTTGTAACTGTTACTAAAAGATTATACTACTGTGATGATATGGAGGGAAATGGGGAGGGGAAAATGGCAAGGGAGAAAAACAGGGCCAGGGCAAAAAGGACTCGGTATACCTATAAAACTATATCATGGAAAATAATAACAATTAAAAATTTTAAAATATTCCTATATTTATTGGAAAGAGTTACTGAGACAGAATAGGAGGTATGTTCCATCCAATGGTTCACTCTTCAAGAATATGCAATAGCTAGGGCAGATCCAGGCGGAAGCCAGAAACTGGGGATTTCACTGGATCTCCCACATGGGTAGCAGGGGCCCAGTCACTTGCTGCTATTTCCAGTCCATTAATAGGGAGCAATATTGGAAGTGGAATAACCAGTGTAAGAATCCACACACAAATGCAATGCCAGGCGTTGTAGGTAGAGGCTTTACCCACTGTGTCACAAGGCAAGCCCCCTTTTTGTATTTCTGTACACATTTTGTATTTTTGTGTACTTTTTACTTTTGGGTCAGAGAAAGTACAGTAAAGGGTAAACTGTTTTAATTTTACCAGAAGAAATAAAATGAATAAATAAATTTATCTAAAGCTAAAATAGGAGATTTAAAAATATCCAGACTTACTAAAATGTTAAGGACATTCAGGGATAGACTTCCCTTTTACAAGCGTATGAAACATTTTTGTAAATGTGCAGTAGTGGCAGTACTAATGGAAAGAATAGAACCTCTTTTCTGTAGACTCATTTAATGTATTTTTTGCCAATCTGCAATTATTTCTCTCTCCTAAATTATATTTTATGGAAATCGTCTACAAGCCAAAGTACTTTTCAGTGCTGCATGACATTGTGATTGGGTTATTTTGAAATCAGACACATTTTACTCAGTTAAAATGGGAAAACATTAGAATTTCCATGTAAAATTAATTATGTGATCTGAAAGAGCAACAGGGAGGGAGGAAGGAATAGACAGAGACAGAAAAATGTATTCACTCAGTGCTTTAAATAATGCCTGACTTTTAGTAAATATTTAGGGGAAAAATAAATGTGCAGCTGTCGGAGCCTTACTCCATTGCCAGTTAGTACAGAGAATAGGGTACAGAACATATGGCACATAGGACTGTGATCAGAAAAACCCAGGAATCATGGGTACAGGAAGTTAAGTGAAGGTTCAAGCTAATGTAATTGTCTAGGAGTTGTTTTATCACTTGGTTGTTAAACGCAGTCTTCTTTTTTGATGTTTTTATGTGGTTCTGAGTTTTCTGAATCATACTGAAAGCATTATGTGAACTCAGCCATGTCTAAATGTCCTGCTTCCCATTTTTTGAGCTTATTCCTGAGCTCTGCTCACCACTTAGAGATGAGAAGAGACAGGCCATCTGTGTGAGGTTATATATGGATGTCCTGCACGCTCTGCAGCAAATATGTTTGGAAGAAACAAGTGCATGAGTCATTCCTCCGGTGCTGTGCTGGATTATGAATCCTAAAGAGAAGATCCATTCTGGCCTGTCTTAGAGTGAGCAGTCAGCCTTTCCAGCGCTCAGAGCTTTACCCATTCCAGTGCTAAAGGAGAAACGAGAATGCAAAGCTGGAAGCTAAGGCATTAGCCAAATAGTGGCAATGGTCATGTCAGTTAGACTGTGCCTACTCTCCATTCCCTTCCCAGTCCTTGTACGTAAAAGAGCTCTGAGAAAAGCAAGAAACTCTCTTTGAATCAATCACTTATTTGTAAGACTCCCAAGAGAAAAGGTATTTGACAGTTAATTGACTTAACTCTTTTACTGTATATTAAAGGGTACAAAATTTAACAACAGGAAGTATGAACATATTTTGATGAGTAAGTCTTACTCAGCAGTGTGGAGTTTGCTCTGGGTCATTGTACATTCTAAGCCATCACGTATTCTCTAATTCAATATAATCCTTAGTTCCTCTTCACAAATGTACACTTGCTTACAGTTTATCATTAGCTAAAAATTTGATGACAATAAACAAAACTTTAGGAAAATCTCCTGATGATATGGAAAAGCCAGTTACTTAAGGCTTTGGTAACTCCGAGTTCTAAGAAAGGTTTTCAGGAGCTGGAACTCTCCTGTAACTCTATAAAGAAGCTGGGCAAACAGTAAGCCAGTCGGAATTAAACCTCCACAGGAAAGAGGGAGGGCAGTTTTATGCAATTCCTGCTTTCTGTTAACTTTATTTTTATTGCTATGGCGTTAAAATTGAATATATTTGCTATGAAAATAACTTATTTCCTTCATGATTCAAAAATGTTTCACCAAGGAAGAACTGACACTTGCTTAGCTTTTGTACACAAGGAGTTTCTTCATATCATCTCATTTTTTCCTCATGCCAATATTTTGAGATGCATTTTATCTTCTTTTCATATAAAGCAATAATAGATCTAAAGAATAGTTTTGGCATCAAAATGCAGAAAGACCAAATAATTATGTGGTCAACAGGGGGCTCTGTGGAACTCAGTTCCCAAGTTAGTCAGCTAATTCAGATGAGTTTTGTCAGGTTGCTTAAACTTCCGCTGCCTTAGTGAACTCAGCTTTAAATTTCTTTCAGCTGATTGTGTACTGTTATTTCAACAGTCATTTACGACATTTTTGACATGTGTTTTCTTTTGGTATTAATGAGAATATACATTGGTGCACATTTTTTTAACATTTTAAAATTATTCATTTATTTATTTGAAAGACAGAGTTACACAGTGAGGAGAGATTGAGAGCTTGTCAACCCACTGGTTCACTCCCCAAATTGCCACAATGGCCAGAGCTGAGCCAGGCCAAAGCCAGGACTTAGGAACATGAGTTAAAGAAGCCCAAGGACTTGGGTCATCCTCCATTGCTTACCTAGGAGAATTAACAAGGAGCTGAACCGCAAGTGGAGCGACCAGGACTTGATCCAGGGCCCACACAGGATGCTGGCACTCCAAATGCCAGCTTAACTCTTTGTGTTACAGCATCAGCTCCAGCCTACTACTTTAGACCAGAACTTTATCATTGCTGCAGCTTAAAATGTGCATCTCCTTTGACTCAGCAATTCCAATTCAGAAATTCCTCTTCTGGATAAACTCATTCGTGTATGCAAAAACACTTACAGGAAATATTCATTTTGGCACTGTTAATACTAAAGAGTTGGAATATCAATAGAAGCCTCAATTGTAGAAAGACTGAATATATTGAGGTGTGTAATGTATGTCTCAGTGCTTGTGATTACATTAAATATATATGATTTCTATGTAAGGAACTGGTTGACATTGACAGCCTTTGAAGAAAGAAAGAAAATGGGGACTTTAGATAAGTGTCAGATGAATCACTTCTCATTGCTTATTTGTTTCCAGTTAATTACTTATGCAAACAGATTTTTTAAATAAAAAGAACAATATTTTAAAGATAGTGCAATATTGCTTTACTGATTGTTAACTCCTGGTGAGCAGGGTGCTTGAGCTGTAGTCTGGGAGCTGATGAAGATGTAGCTTCAGGGTCAGGGTGATCTGTGGTCCAGTCCTTTCTGAGAAGCAGAGGATTTAGGCTCACCACAGTTCTGCCAAAAGAACAATTAAGATTGAAATCAAGTATTTAGAACACATTTTTGTATTTTCTTTTGTATTTTATGATTTCTTACTAAATTGTACTCTATCTTTAGCCCAATCTCTGCCTTTCACCAGTGCTAAAATATTGGTAAGCACCATTGATAAGTTTCTTTTTTAATTTAATTTTATTGCAAAGTCAGATATACAGAGAGGAGGAGAAACAGAGAGGAAGATCATCTGTCCAATGATTCACTCCCCAAGTGACTGCAACGGCTGGAACTGCACCGAACCAAAGCCAGGAACCAGGAGCTTCTTCCAGGTCTCCCACATGGGTGCAGGATCCCAAGGCTTTGGGCCATCCTCTACTGCTTCCCCAGGCCACAAGCAGGGAGCTGGGTGGAAAGTGGGGCTGCCGGGACTAGAACCTGTGCCCATGTGGGATCCTGGGACATTCAAGGCAGGGATTTTAGCCGCTAGGCCACCACACCAGGCCCCCATTGATTAGTTTTTAAAAATCATCTCCTTTGTAAGCCAGGCAAAATGATTGCATTCCATGTTACTTGCCTAGAGTGCACAGTCTTAAAAATACTGCTTACATAGAACATGTTGAAAGTCTGATGGAGAGGTAATTAAGAAAGATCACTTTGCGTGATGTAGTTATCCATGTTCTATATACTCCAACTTTAAAAATGTCATCTGAAAGAGATTTTCTCTTATCCTGGATTAAAATGAAATAATACACCCATTGTCTATCCTTTTATCTCTCTTTTAAAATTACCTTTTAATTATTATTTTGTGATATAGTTCCATAGGCTCTGGGATTTCCCATTTCCTTCCCCCAATCCCCTCTCTTTTTACTAATTTCCGCTTTAGTGTTACAATGGGTAGTCCTGCATGAACAGTCATAAGTCCATCATTCCACTATTGAAGTGTTTCCTGACACTGTAGGCATGGTAAGTGTCAGAGAGTCCAGCATCCTACTGTTAGGATGTATTCAGCAGTTTCACTGGGAGTCCATCTTTGGTCTGGATGCAGAGATGCATACTGTACTATGTCTCCACATCTGGACATACCAGTCTCTGCTGCACTTCTGTTATACATCCCCTTAAACACAGAGCCAGAAAACACAATCCACAACAGGGAGAAAAACAGATAAATTTACATCAACATGACGTTAAACAACATGCTACAGAATGATCAGTGCATCGCTAAAGTGATGAAAAATAAAAGACCTTCGTGTAGAAAATAATGCTACTGCATGACCCATGTGATACTGAAGAAATCAATAAGAGAAATAAAACTACTTTTTTAAAAAGAAATGACAATAAAAACAAGGATACCAATGTGCATGAGATGTAGCAAAAACAGTGCTGGAATGGGCACTTACATCAGGTGCTTACAATCAAAATGTCTCATATGAATGGTCTATTAATTAATCACAAGAACTTATTGAAAGACATAAATGAATAGGAAGTACAAAAATGCAAAATTCACAGAAAAAAATTGAATTTGAAGCCAAAAAACTACCAATTGAAACAAGAAAGAGCCATTCCGAAAGAAGATGAGTAAAACAATCCTTCAATCATATTAACAAAGAGCATCATTAGAGAACAACCACTTAAAATTAGAGATGAAAGAGAAATGGCCCCAACTTCCTGCTCTTACAGGAGTCATGACACTGTTGGCATAGGCAATATTAGAGACTCTAACATTTTGTGTAGGTATATTTAGAAATTTCACTGGGAGTCTACCCTCATTCCTTACAAGAGATGCATTCTGTTGATTTTTCTTTGATTCCTGGTACTCTGGTCTCCATTATACCCTTGTATGTGGGGTTACACATGTATATTTATTCACCTTTGTAAAAAACTTTTTCAATGGAAATTGTCTTATATTAGAGTGAACATATGATATCTATCCTTTTGGGAATGGCTCACTTCACTTTACATAATAATTTCCAGTTGGTCCCATTTATATAAACAATAGAATTGCACTCTTTTTAATAGCTGAGTAGTATTCCATAGAGTAGATGTACCACAGTTTCCTTATCTAGTCCTGTTTCAATGGGCATCTAGGTTGTTTCCATGATTCTCAATTGTTGATTGTGCTGCAATGAATACAGGGGTACAAGTTGCATTCTCATGTGTATGTGTCAATTCTTTTGTATATATTCCTAGGAGTGGAATTGCTGGGTCAAATTGTAGGTAAATTTTCAGTTGCCTAAGTATTCTCCAATCAGAAGGCAGGAGCCAGGAACTTCTGGGTTTCCCATGTGGGTGCAGGATCCCAAGGCTTTGGGCTATCCTCAACTGCTTTCCCAGGCCACAATCTGAGAGCTGGATGGGAAGTAGGTGATCAGAACATGAATCTGCCCATATGGGATCCCAGCATGTGCAAGGCCAGGACTTTAACCACTAGGCTACTGTGCTGGGCCCCTTTAGTTGTTTTTTTACTTTGTTGATTTTTTCCTTTGCTGTGTAGAAGCTTCTTAGTTTGATGTAGTCCCATTTGTTTATTTTGGTCTTGAGTACCTTTGCTTTTGATGATTTTTCTAGGATGTCATTGTCTGTGCATAAATCTTGTAGAGTATTTCATATATTTTCTTCTCATAGCTTAATGTTCTATCCATTTCTCTTGATATCAATGTGCATATCCATAATATCTTTCATAGCCGGTAGTTATTTTAATTAATTTATTTGAGAGACAGAGAGATGGAGTCAGTGCAGAAAAACAACTCCCATCGGCTAGTTCACTTAGCAGACACCCACAGTTGCTTTGATGGGGCCAAAACAAAAGTCGGGAAGTCAATCAAGTTATTCTGTGGGTCATAGGAACCCGGTATTTGACCCATCACCACTGTCTCTCAGGGTTCACATTTGCAAAAACCTGGAGTCAGGAGCCAGTGCCAGGAAACCCAGGTACCCTGAAGCAAGGCACAGACATTTTAACCTCCAAGCCAGATGCCCATCCCAGAATGATTTCTCTTAAAACCTATTATATTTGTTATCTGAATCTTTCAACAACATGCAATCTCCATAAAGAACAGGCTCAATGCATGTTTTGTTCATAACTGTGTCCCAGTTTGCAGCACAAGCATTGATTGATGAGAATCGAATGGTTCAGGTAAGAGCACAAGAAGGCCTCAGACTTAGACACACATTTTTGTGCCCTTTCCTTTGTGGAACTCTGAATTTTAGCCTTGTTTGTCTTTATCTGAGGTTGTTCTCAAATCCAGCTGTGCAGATGTAAATTAATCTATTTGCTGTGAAACCAATTTACTGAGATTGCCATTGATTACACTTCCTCTATTGTCACACAGGAGCATGTTTCTCACTAAGAAAATATTTAATAGGTTCTTTAATGGTAAATGATGACATTGAACTTCGCCAGACTGGGAGAAGCTTTACGTTTTATTCTCAGACATAGCCATCCTAATCCATTATGGTTGGCAACAGTTAGCCCTTTTTCTTTAGGTTCTTTTTTTTTTTTTTTAACCAAGAACATCTTCTTTGTCTCTTTTTGAGTAATTCATATGGCATACTTCATATGATGAAAAACATTAAGTTAATGAAACAAATTGTATGTTTTGTTTCATTTCAGTATGTCTCCACAGTTAAGATTTGAGTCTGTAACATATTTTGGTTCTTGGCTCATTGTATCACCATATGGTATCTCTCTGCCCTTAATCCTTCTCCTATTTTTTCCTGTTCTCTCCCACCAAATGCTGTCATTAAATGTCTCTCTCTTTTCCATTATGCTACTGTTTGACCACCTCTTGTATCACACACTGTGCCACAAGCAGTTGACTATTCAGCTTGTGCCTAACTTTGCAGTCTCCTTTTTCCTACTTACAACATCCCATTGGCTTCATCATCTTTTTTGCAATACTTCCACTGATCATGTAAAGTGAAGCTATTACCAGTATAAAATCCATGCCATTTATTTATTTAATAATCCCTTAGATGCATTTATATGTGAAAATCCTTTTAACCCTCAGCAGCAATAGGGTTTTTCAGCACCCTGAGTTTTGCAATCCGTTTACTATAATTATGGGGAATGATTTTATCAGTTGTGTTGGTGAAGAAATCATTAGAAATAATTCTTTACCTCTGTCTTCCCAACTAAATATATAAATTGCAGTAAGTTTAATGGAAGACAAAGTATGGAATGGAGTGATAGTTGTAACTAATTGAAATTAATTGATTTTATAAGTAATGTTAATTAATTTTAAAATTAATTTTGTGAATAACCTTTTTATTGAGTAGAAGATGATAAAAATCAAATCTAAGAAGAACTAAGTTTGACTGGCATTAAATATCCTCAGAAGTACAGATATTAAAAAATGTAATTGAGCAGTGTTCAAAATTTATTCTTAGTACAAAGCATAGCAGGTCCTAAATTAAATTTAAGAATGAAAGTAAAGGAGATATTATAGAAAAATAAAGTGTAGTCTTATGTAATTGAAGACTTTGAATTTCTTATGAATTGTTTAGCAGAAACTGTTTGACCAGCAATATGGAAGAAAATTGGGAAGTCTCTTTGCTTTAAAAATGATTACATTCACTGACATGCTTCAATCTGGCAATAAATCAGCTTGGGAAATTTTACATAAAGGGATGTCACTATAAATCCGCTTTTACATTTTTATCTTAAGTAGTATCATCATAAAATATTTAATCAAGTACTAAAACTGTCAAAGTAGGCGATAATTTGAATTTGGGCTTTTGTTTTAATCTATTTCATGTTGAAGGTTTTACCTTTATATAAATTTTAATCTGGATTTATCAGAACTTGTCATAATAACAATCAATAGATAATTTGCTCACAAATTATAACTATCATAAAGACAGGTGATGATAATTTGTTTAGAAACTGAGAGGCCCACATTTAAAGAAAATAACTAACAAAATGCTTTATTTTTTTCTGCTGTAAAAAAGAAAGTATTCTCACTATGAAGTTTTGTTTTTCCTTTTGTAAAGGCTGTTTATCTTTCCATATTTCTCTATTATATTGCAAATTTTAACAACTTTACTAATCATGATTCATCAGACTCCATGTGCAAGACTGAATTTTATTTTCTCCATGTTTTTGTTTGGCAAGGAGAATAGGAAACAGGTAAAGATATTGAAACTTAAGACAAGTCACTGTCACTTTTTCCTGGCTTCTCCTACTTCATTGAAAGCAAGAGCCTATCTTCTTGGCTACCTTGTGAGAATACCATGCTGCTTCAATTATTCTAGCAGGTCCTTGTTCTCATTTTCTTGGGACTTTATCCAAGTGTTGATTTGATCTGCATCAGCTAATGTCTCCCTCAATACTTTTGCCTTGATCACTGATTTATTTGTATATATCCACCTTTGATTGTTGACTTTACTGTTTGAGCTCTATACTAATGAAGCCAGAGAAGCCATTAGAACTAATTCCTTGCCACCTCCTCATTCCCTCCAGCCCATTCCCTCCAGAGCTAGACTAGCTCTGTGCAGTCTTCCCACATAAGGAGATCAGACACCCAGCTGGGAAGTAAGGAAGCCCAGATGATAACTCAAGGGAAATCAGTTTCAGAAAATGCCATTCAAACTGTAGAAATTTATAATCATTATAATTTTCTTAAATTTATCAGCCATTTCTAGACTGGTTACATTGATTCATTAATATGCATACACATATGCACACATACAATTAATAACAAGGTAGATCTGTGAATTTACCTTTGAAAACTGAAGTGATAAATTCCCTAGGTATAGACTTCAAACAACAGCTGTTAACTTAATCACAGAGGCACTGCAAGGCTGAATACTTTTTTAAAACTGTTGTCTTTTCAACAGATGATACATCTGAAACAATAGGTAGGGAGCAGGTGTGTGAGGGTCTGAATCTTAGCTTACAATTGGCAAAACTGTGACTACAGAGGGAAGCCATTAGAGATGTTGTCAAAAAGATTGATGATGTTATGCACTTTGAAATTGTCCTTGACAAATTATATAAAATGAATAATTTTTCTCCTAAGGCACAGCATGAATTAGAGTAAGTTGGAGCACATAATGCAAGTTTTTCAGGTACAAGGATTTCCTTAGTTCAATGAGGAATATCCAGATTGGATTAAGGCAATTCTCCGAAATCATTTTACCAAAACTGTAAACAGCTTAGAGTTAAGTGAAATGAGAAGTGTGAATGAGCTGAGTATAGGCTATTGAAATGACATATTGGGCTTCTCCACTTTCTGAAGTCACCTTTCCACATGACGTGTGTACCTGGTTTGTTGGAGAAGGTGAATCTTGCAGAAATGGGATGCAAGGATTATTAAAATGACAGTGGTTAATAAACCTTCATCTTGTATTCTAGTCCATGTGTTGCCTTGGGCTTTTTAAACTAGAGTGCATTTGCTCTGTGCATAAGAAGAAACAGGAACAGCTGCCTTAGGTGCATTGGAGGAAGTTCTTCACTTCCTGATGATGAAGCATTTAAAATGCTAGTTATATTAAAATAGATATATTAGAAGCAAAATTTTAAATTCCAAGAGGTTTTTATTTTTGATAAAGTTTTATTCATTTGGAAGGCAGAGTTACAGAGAGAAGAGGAAACAAAATGATAATATAGTTACTTTGTGGTCTCCCATGTGTGTGGGGGGCATGTCTTTCCTGACATTCACCATCCCCTCCCAACTCCTCACCCTTGCCATAAGTTTTTAAAATAAAGAATAAGAAAAGGGCATTGTGGCACCTCATATTAAGCCACTGCTTGTGACACCCACTGCCCTTATTCAAATGCCTAGCTTCATGTCCGGCCTCAACTTGTGATCTACCTTGCTGTTAATACATGCCCTTGGAAGTAACAGATAATGAGTCAAGTGCTTGAGTCCTTGCCATTTACCTGGGAGACCTGCAAGGAGTTCAGGCACTGGGTTTTGGACTGGTCCCATCCCTAGTTCTGCAAAAGTGTGTGAGAAGTGAACCAGAGGATGGGAGATCTCTCTGACTCTGTCTACATTTCGCTGACTTTGTTCTCACTGTGCCTTACAATCTAATTATATTAAAAAACAAATTAAGAATTTGAGGAAATATGTATTCAGTTTTGCATGGATATACTCCTCACCAACCCTGGGATCTTGAAGTCACTCTAAGCTTTTCAAAGTGTGTCTTTCTGCCTGTCCATTCTGATTCCATTGATTTCTGAAGTCACATAGTAAGAAGGAAAGTTAGCCTTAGAAGTAGGTTCAGCCTGAATTCTCTTTCAGTAAATGTCTAAGAATATATTTCGTGACTATTTTTGATTATAAAGTGGTCTTAAAGGAAACTGGTTTGGCCAAACTCTGGAAGGCATGCTGGAGGGAAGAGCAGTTCACCATCAGAGGAAGTTACGAAATTCAATTCATGGGGGAATATTCCGTTATTGGCCTCCTCCTGACACTGAAAAAGGAAGTACTTGCTCCACTTTTGGCCAAAGTGCTTGTTTACTGAAAAATGTTTTCTCTTTTGGATCTCATCACCTTCTCCTGGGTCCCAGAAGTTACAGATGGCCCAGACACACACCATTACCTTAAAAGAAAAGTGAGTTAAATAGCTATTGTCTTAGTAAACAAAATCAAAGTATCCACCGTATTCAGTGTACATCACAGTAATTTAGAATTATCCTTAATTCTAGACAGTTGACTATCACATTCAAGAATATTAGGGCATTATTTCACAATGATAAAAAATTTTTCTCTTTGAATATAACAATTGGTTCTTCACTGCTCAAATATAGAACTTTGATAAATATTTTATCTGATTTTTATATAGTACATTCTTTTCACAATATTTACCATCATTATATATCCTAGTCACTCTCATGTAATGCCATATTAATTTGCTATCTACTAAAAGGATATTTAATGGTGAAGCTGAACCACATTTAAGATTCTTAGATTGACACTCACCTCCTGTACATCAGTGAATATGAAGGGATGAGCATCTTGGCTCTAAGGAGTGGTTCCCAGAGGAAGGATGCTTCCTTTTCCACCCATCCCCTGTGCAGCAGGCAGAAGGAGCAGTGGAAGATTAGCAAATTACAGTTGGAAATTTGGGAAGCTTGCAATTCTCCCATGCAGAAAGGAGGCTGGTGAAGGGAAACAAAGGGACCAGGACTGTGCTTATTATGCGATTATTAACAAGGCAGAGGCAAGGCAGTGGGGGAGTTGGATTCACCCAAGATTAGAGTTTTGCCAGGTGGGTATGACAGGTGAGTGGTTATTTTAGAAGGAAGGTAGAGGCAAATCAATTAATGAAAGACAAAATCATTAGTAGTTCTGAAAATAGTGAAAATGTCTTTTATGGAAGAGTAAACCTTTTTCAATGAAAATCTGCAGACAGAAGGAGTGTGTGGCACAGTTCAAATACCCAGCACAGCATAAGTAATATTTGTGTTCAGGATTTATTACCCTAACCTGGGTTATAAGACAATCCGCATGCCCCCTGCTAAAGCAGACACAACTGAGACTTTGAGATTTCTCTTCTATCCAAACTCAGTCTAGAGAGTTTGGATATATTTACATATAAATAAATAGGTACTAAAGACAGACATAAGAACCCAGTTGGTGAAAAAGCCTTACTCTAGCTGCGGGTTAGGATGTGAATTATGCTGTGGTGGTATTCCATCATGAGATAAACATGCAAGAGAGAAGGAAATATTCTGGGAAAGGTTTGAGGTTCATGGACGCACCCCTGGGTACTGGGTATCCCTAGCCTTAGCTGTTACTTGGCTTTTCTGGAATGGCCTTTTGCCAGTGCAAGTTACTTCTGCAGGCATAGGTAGGACTTGGGTGGTGGTGCTGGCTCAAAAGGTGATGATGAACTATCATTTTGCAAGGACTCTTAGGAACTGCTTCTGACTTAAATCCCCTAAAAAGTCCTGGTAGTCTGAATTCTGTGATAGGAAAATGACGAGCTATTGATACTGAGTATGAGGAAAGCTATAGAGGACATCTGAAAGAGGCTGAAATATATAGTAACGGTCCCTACTGCCTCATAACCTTAAACACAGACTTAATAAAAGTCTATGTAAGTATTAGAAACTATTCTGGTCTCCTTTCTGTTGGCTTCTATTTCCTGCAAGTTCAGAAACAACATTAATGATACAACAGCACATGCATTGCTGGAGGCAGAACCGAGAAGGAAAGTGTGTCTGAATGACTGGCTGACAGAGCCCCCAGAGGAGAGTGGTGACAGCTTCAGCTCTGTACTTGCCAGCTACTGGGATAATTGCTTGGCTATGAACCATGCCCTGGCTACTTTGTACTCCCAGGGACAGAGAGCCACAGCTCTTTGTTGGCTCCTTCCTTTATTCGCTTGAACATGTATTTAGGACTCTTAAGCGCATGCACTGTGCTAGAGATGGGAAATGTGGTGAAGACAAAGTCCGGATTCATGATAGCTCAGGGTCTACTTACGTTTATCTGAATCCCCACAACATTTTATTTGCATTGTCTTTGAGGTTATCTTCTTTCATTTTGAACCATATATTTTTTTAAATGTCATGTCTTGTCTTAGGTCTTTGGCTAGACTCTATGAGATGGCTGTGGTGAGTGTATTTGATATGCAAGTGCGTTTTTCATTTTCTCTCAGACAAAACTTCAAAATCAGTTGTCACATACAATATTTGGAAATCTTCATGTAAAACACATGTATTTCTAGCTTCTTTTAAAATCTCCCAAGGTCTGTAACCCTGAGCGTGAATTTCTACCTCTGGAGCTGAATAGAGGCTGTCTTGTTTAAACTGAGCACCAGCTCCTTGTCTACCTCAGTTCCCAACTAATGGCATTGCCTAAATGTGATGGCTTCATGCCTTGGAAGTCTTGAGACTGCTTAGGAGAAGGTGGTGGTGAATTAAATGTGAATCAGGAAGGACCTGGGGTAAGCCACTTGCTGGGTGGCAATAAATGAAAGAAGGCCCCAAGGAACAACAGGAAACATTTTCAACACACAGTGGAGTGGGGAACCCCTATGCCTATGAAACCATATCATAAAAAACATAATAACAATAATAAAGAGGAAAAGGGCTCTTCCTGAGATATCATGAACTACACATCTTCAGAGAAGAAACACTTCAACATTATATGTGCACATTGATTTCAGGGGTATTGCTATGCCTCAAGCAGTTGAAAGGTGATAGTTTTGATGTTGCAAGGGAAGAAAAAAAGCTCTACAGACATCTAAAGATGATTTTCACTTAGAATATAGTGTTTTTCCATGAGTGGTTTTTGGGCTTTGATACTGATATGTAGTATTAATCATCCATATAGAAAATATAGATTTACAAAAAACAAAATAAGAATTCAACCAGCAAAAAAAATAAAGGACTGAGTGATGAAGTTGGCATGGCTTGTCAGGTCTGCAAGTTATGACCTTAAGTAGTCAAGAGAGTGGTGGTGTCTATAGGAGGGAGTCAGTCTGATGCCCTTTGTCAAGTATTCCTGTGTTCCTTAGCCACTTTGAAATTTGGCTAATAGTAGCTCACAGTTGTTCCCTTCTTCAGAAAATTGCCACCCAGTGAAAGAAAGGAAGTGTGCATGTGGCAATCATGCAGGGCACACAATCATCCACGGTGATTAATTGGCATGAAGGTACAGATGACAATATGCTTTCTGCCTCAGGATGAGATCAACTCAGCATTACAGTTTGTTTTCCAAATCTGTCCCGCAGCTTCTGGCCCAAGCAGGGCTCCTGAAGGGACCCCACCTTTATTTAGCTCCTTCCATTGTCCTTTTCTGCTTATCCTAGTCTTTTTATCTTGGGAACATTCTGTCTAAAAATTGTGCACAACAAAGCTTCAATTAATCAATGCACTTATTAGGAAACTGGCTTTAGATGGTATTTGTAACAGATTTAGGTTATTTGAAACTTGAAAAAATGGCTAGCGATGTGGAGATATCTGCAGGTCCTTTCTGTAATATTCCTTTCCTAATCAGGATTTCATCTCTGGTTTGACATCATAGGGTTCGGCATACCCAAAGTGTGCAGCAAATTTTGCTGGGTTTGTCAAATGAATTTGATTTAGGGTTCATTGAGTTTGAACAAGCAGCAGGGAACCCAGTATGATATACAGATCACAGGCACAGGAAAATAGTTGCAGCTAGAAATTAAGACTTCTCCAGGGAAGAAAGTGATTCAAAGGGAAGAGGCTGTAATTAGTGTCAAGTACAAATAAAACCTTGATTCTTTTCATTGTATAGCAGCCTGCAGTTGTCTTCACTTCAGTTGGGTACATAACTCTAATTACTCCAGATCAATGAGTTGCAATCCTTTGGTAATGTTTAGGCAAAATTTCAGTTAGTGAGTTTTACTCTCCGTTGGTAAGTCAGTCTAGTGCAAAAGGTTAGCATTACATTGAAGAAAAATTTGTGGATT